ATATGTTTGGTTAATTAATGACTTATTTTAACAACAGTAACAGTATTTTTTTCTAGTCTGATGTTATACTTAACGGTTGGTAAGTTCCAAACCATCTATTTGTTAACTGTGTTAAGTGGTTACGAATACTGGGCGTCAGAAATTTTTTTTTCTTGAGGAAATAGGAAGAATAGGTATATAACTGAAAATTAGCAGTCTGTTTGGTTTTCTTTTTTTTCGATCCTTTTACTATTATTATTTTTTTTATTCAAGAAGACATTGTGTTTGAATTCATACTTTTTCAACACTTATCAGTTTTCACAAGTCGGCAAAAATGGTTTGCAGTCCGCTCACAAAGTGCTAACGGTGTTATAGCTTACGGGTTCACTGACAGGTTGTTTCATATATCTTTATCTATTAAAATACAGTCCACAGCTGTATGTGGTCAAGTGTATTCGTATAATGCCATTGCTAGTACATTACCTTATTTTCCTAGTTATGTTTTTGATTTTGAAGTCGACTGCATTGTATGGACCAACTTTATTATTGTTTCTTCAGCACTGAAATTTTTTCCCCATAAAAGTCGCTTTTACCGAGCTTTTTCATGTACTGTATGCCTTTTCTGTAAATTTTGACGGCCGTTGATTAATTTATTCCAATTTCTTTGCTTGCATAGCCTTGTTGCGGTGTGAACAGGAAAGCAGTTCCCCGTTGCATTCATTAAAAGTTCGTAAAAACTTTACAGTTTTTCTGCTGAAGTTTTAGAGGATGAGAAATTTTCCCTGTTCAGCGGTATAACAAGGTATTTTGTGGACCATTATCTTTTTTTGCTGCGTACATTTTTGGTTCTATTGCTTCCACTGTTTCTTAAACCATTTGATGGTGTGTTAGCTTGTTCTTTCAGGCCTGTGGTTCATCAGTTTCGTTTTTCTTCCTTTCATTTTCATTAATCATGTCTGTAAGTTTTGCTTTTGCGGTAGTGTATATGTATTTGACTTTCATTTTTGGTTTCTCTGGGAGGGTAAAGTTGAGGCTTCTAGAAAATTTTTTTCTTTAATTTTTACTGGCTTTTAGGGTTATGTAAATAATTATGGTTATGGTGCCTACGGGTACGGACAACAAGTTGCACCTTATGGGCATGATGACGGCAGCGCAGCAGCCGGAGGTGGCACGACAACTAGCGGGGGCCAGGGTGGGGCTTATAACGCTCGTTACCACTTCCCAGCGGCACAGAGTGCTGGTTTTGATACTGGAAGTGAAGATCGTCAGCCAAGAACAGTGTAAGTAGTACAGTAATTCGATTTTTCGATGCTTCTGCTTTGTTTCTTTTAACAAGTAGAGGTTGTTCTGTTTTAATTCTTTTTTTTCTTTTTTTTTGCAGCTATGTCGGCAACCTGGATCCAAGCATAACAGAAGATTTCATTACCACCTTGTTTGGCCAAATAGGGGCTGTGACAAAAACTAAAGTGATTTTTGATGTAAGTTTTATTCGCTTTAATATCGTCCTTTGTTCCTCCTTGCGCAGCTTTGGTTGTAGATTCCATATCCTGTGTATTGCGCGTTACTTTGCTGAGTTGTGCGCTTTGGTGGGAAGCGTCGCTTGTTTTCCTCATTTTCTGTTTTCTTCTTTGTTCTTCAGGTTTTTCATTTTTTTTTACTTTTAATATTCCTTTGAATTATCTCTCTTAATAATGGGACGTGATGATATTGCTATGCAGATGTAGAAATGGCGTTTGGTGGTGAAATATGGATTGCGGGAGCTGTTGTACATACTCTCTACACATTCAACATACCAGGATATCTATGCAGAGCCGTCCATCGCGCTCTCTGCTAAGTACCCTTTGCTTAATATTCCATTTTTTTTTCATTTCTGTTTCCTTTCATTTTACTTTCTTTATTTATTGCTTTTTCTTTTTTTTAATTCAAATTTACATTAGTTTCCCTAAAAATTTCTCCTGAACTTTAGTTTCCCATACAGTTGGCAGAGGGGGACGGGAAGGGTGGGGGGACTTGGGAGGTGCTTTGTAGCTTATTGGCAGTTGCCCCGTAATGTTGCGACGGTAGAGAACAAGTCTGTAATGATGCATACATGGTGATAAGCGTTTGTCTGAAGCCGTTTTTATTGCTTTGAGCAGTGTAACTACTAGAAGTTGCTATTGTTGAGTCATCTTCTAATGTGGAACGGTAAGCCAGAGTACGCATTAGGGTTCCGCAGTTCCAGCTTCTTTGGTTCTGTTCGAAATAGCAGAATTCGGTGTGCGTGTGTTTCTTCATGATATAGCCAATTAGCGGACTGTAATGCCCAAAGAAGCTGAAGATGTGATTAATTGCCTTTAGTGTCATGTGCATTATTCATTTCCTCGTTCAGGGTACGAACGACCCTTATGCTTTTGTCGAATTTGCTGATCACTATACGGCGGCTCAGGCGTTACAAGCGATGAATAAACGAGTGCTTCTTGATAAGGTAATGTTAGGCATCGGCTGGTTGTATATCTTACGTTATTGAAAAGTTGGACAGACTTGGTAATTTCGCCATTATTGATATTGATTTTGTTTTTGCTTGTTTAGGAGATGAAGGTTAACTGGGCCACAGAGCCCGGTACTCAGGCTAAAGTGGACACTAGCAAGCATTTTCATGTATTTGTAGGCGACTTGTCGCCGGAAGTGGATAATAAAGCACTCAAGGATGCCTTCGCACCTTTCGGTGATGTTTCGTAAGCATGAATATTTTGTCATGAAAATCATCACGGGGTTTCATTTTTTGCTGTTGATTTCTGTATTTCAGAGATGCCAAAGTTATTCGAGATGCTACGACTTTGAAGTCGAAAGGATATGGTTTTGTTTCTTACCCAAAAAGAGAGGTTTGTCTCGTAGGGTTTTTGTTAGTGACTATCAAATTTTTTGGAGTTCTGTTGGGGATGATGAGTGGTCCTCGTTATTATTACGGCTGACAATCAGGTATCTGAAAAGGTTTTAGGAAGCGGAACGTGCGATAGAACAGATGAATGGTCAATGGTTAGGTCGCCGCACGATCAGGACTAATTGGGCCACTCGGAAGCCTACTGGCACGAATGACTCTCAGTACGGCCGAACGGAACTTAGTTATGATGATGTTTTCAACCAAACCGGCCCCGAAAACACTTCTGTTTATGTGGGAAATGTGAATAGCGCTGCAAACGGTAAAGCTTTACTTGATGGTAATTTGTGTGCGTCATTTCTGTCGCAATATGCACAATTTAAGAGCCTGCTCAGTAGGTTTTCAAGTATAGCGATATGCTGGCTTGATGACTATTACCGGGTGGGTGTCATGCCTGTGCAATAACAGATCAAAAAAGTACATGGAGTGCTTTACATTATATTGCACTCCTAAATACGTTGCTTTTGTTACAAGACGTTTGTTTATGGTTACGATTTTGCTGCTTCGTGTGGATGGATATTAAAGGTTTCTTTCAGATGAAGACTTGCGCTCAGCGTTCGATAAGTTCGGCCGCATTTTGGAGGTTCGCATATTTAAAGCACAGGGTTATGCCTTCGTTAGATTTGACAAGAAGGAGTCAGCTTGCAATGCTATCGTAAAAATGAATGGACAGGAAATATGCGGGCAGAGCGTGAAATGCTCATGGGGAAGAACGCCAGAGGTTTTCCTTTTTGGATGGATAACTTTTGCTTTTTTGTGATTTGTCCGGTCTTACTATCACATTTAGGGTCACAACCAACAGAGTGCTGGTGGTTACAATGCTGCAGCTGGTGCTTATGGGGGATACGGATATGGAGCGTATGGTGGTTATGGTAATGGGCAAGGAATGGGAGGAAGCGCTGCACAGCAACAGCAGTACTGGAACTACTATCAGCAGTATTATAGCAATCCTCAGGTCCTTCAACAATGGCAGAGGTAAGGAAATCTTGCGCTGCTCTGTAGTTAAGGCATATTTGCGTGACGGTTGTTTGTTTCAGTTATTGGGGTCAACAGAGCGGTCAACAAGGGCAGCAGCAGTAATTGTAACAGGATTCGTTGTTTCCGTCCCTTGAAATGCCGCAGCCAATTTTTTCATTTTACTTCTGTTATTTCTCGTCAGATGCATCTCACAATTTTTGTTCATCAATTTCTAATTTGGTTCCTTGACAGTTCTTTTTTTTAACTCCAAATGCTTTGATGTTTTGTTACGAATTTTATATGGGTCATGTTGCGTGTGTATCTTTCTTTGTCAAACTTGAGAAGATTGTTCCAGCCACTTACTTTTTGTTTCGCCAGGCCGTTCCTTGCAGCAGGCGAGAATTTAGCTTCTAGATGCTTATATATCCTATTCTTTCTAAGGTGATCCGCCCAGGTTGTTTTATGGCGTCTTGTTTTCGTATCGTTGGTAATAATAAACTTCATAGAGACTGGACGCCCTAGTGTGAAGTGATGGGAACAATACGTCGCAACTTAGAGCGAGTGCATGTTTTTGAAGTCCTACAATCACTTGCGGATGAACCATTTTATTCTCCTGAGATCACGTCACATGGGAGATCACGTAGCTGTGGAGTCCTCGGCCTTTTCTTCCTGCACTTCTCGTACAGCTTACGGACTCACGGGTAACCCCCATACATGCTTGCCAAATCCCTGTACGCTCCTGCATCGTAATCTTGAATCGCACGGCCCAGCCCCTTCGTATGAAATAGGTCGCGGAGAGCTCTTTGTGGGAAAGAAGGTAGTGTAATCAGTGTTGTGTAATTCTGGTGCAGCTGCCATGCCTAAAAGACTGGTGGCATGTAATCCACTCCGGGCGTTTTGAAGTTGGTAGGGCTGTTTAGCTATGGCTCCTACGCCAATACGAAACAGCAACTTGCCGGTTTGGGGTCTTCGAATATGTAAGTCAATGTCCAGACGGGCTTCCCAGGCGAGTCGGGCCTTCTTCGACGTATAATTGCAGAAAAGTTACGGTCATAGTTCCGCATGGGGAGCCTTTTGAACAGTTTTCTGTCGTCCTCCACAGCCCCAAAAAACTCAATTTCAACAGGCTCCTCTTCCATACAGTAGTTTGCGTCTGCTTTCAGGTGAACTCTGATCTGAAACAGCAAAATAGTTGCAACAAATTTATCAAGACTGTGTGTTTCAACTCTGTTCATCGCCACTGATGTAAAACTCATCAGTCAACCCAAAAAAGTTTTCATGTCGTTTGATAACGCATGAACTCGGTGAACTAATTAGGCGCAGCGTCTTAAACTGAGCGTGTATGAAGAACTGTGAAAGCGAGTACCTCAACGGTGTTCCCAACTGCGAATGTCGGGTATGGAGGCTCAATATGACGAAAGTTTGTGACATCGTAACCCTCTTTCAAATCTCTGTAGTTTATACTATGACCCCGGCTTGATTCCAAAAAATGCACTGTAGATTCTCGATGAAAAGCACGTACCTGTGCGCAGCCGTGAACTCTATCCACTGCCCGACACAAACCTCTCCAGCTTTGTCAGCAATAGTCCCATCGCCTAAAATTGGGTTCCAAACACATGCTATATTTTCTTCAAGCGAAACGATAACACCTTGGAAAACACTGCGGACATTGCCGTCGACTTCACCACAGTCCTCCTAAATGGACAGCTGTTGGAAACGAGAACCTTTTTTCGGACATTGCTTTGAACATAAAGTGCAAAAAAGCAACATCTAGACACATCTAAACATGGAAATGAATGCTTTTGGCGAAGCAGCGACAAGGTGACAGTACAAACTTGAGATTTTCAAGTACTGAAAAGAAATAAACGCTTAAATATTACAAGAGTTTCACTTCCATGTTTGCAAAAGCTTACCTTTTTTTTCTGCAGAAAACTACAGCTAAACATAAAGAATATCTAAAATATCAGCGTTGTATAGATAAAAACTATGTAATTAAACACCGTACTACAACCAATCTTCTTGACAATGAAAGCGACGATCGCCAACGACACCCGAAATTCCCCTCAGTAATGGAACTTCTACATAAACGTGAATTGTGCCTCGCAAGATCTTCACTGAGAATTTCTGAAAAAAATGGCGCACACACCCAATGGACACCAGGCAACCCATTTCCGTCAATGCCTTTACACCTAAAAGTAAAGATTTCGTAAAGCTTTTCCATCTAATAACAAATTTCTGCAATTTTAAACATCACCTTGTTATCCACAATTTTGTAGCAACATCATCCTCATAACTTCCGTCAGCAAAGATAACGCCAACTTTCCCTACCATCTTTGATTCCCCAATACGCCAATTTCTTCTAAGAACATGCTGTGACGTTTGTATGACGACTTCTTCGCAAAACTAAAAGCATCGGTGTACTAGACCGAGAAGCA